AACGTGCCGTAGTATACGACGTGTATCGAATAAAAGGCGAAGATTCAATGAATCTCAAGCTCCTCCCGCTACATTTCTGCGCACTTTCGGGTGGTGCATATGATACACTTCTGGAGCTACGATCCTCACTTTTCGCTTTTCAAAACGATGTGCCTCGCAGGTAGTGAGTACTTGAAAACACTGTACAACCCACTCCTTAGATCGTGGTCCTTGTCATTTAAGGAGGTGAATCGGTCAGCTGCTACAGTCGTGCCATCTTCTCCGGTCAGAAGTGCACCGGAACGGAAGTTAGGGGGGGGGGTAGCTAGACACGAGTATCTTCTCCATACTCCGCTCGCGCTGCCACACGGCCAGCCGCACGTCTAACCGTAGCAAGGCGCACTACTTGTCTGCGCCCTCTCCGTTCTAATCTCCTCCACCGCTCAGTGCGTGTCTTCCCGGGGACCGTGGTACCGACGCAAGCGCTATACCTTGAGTATAGCGCGAGCAGAGCATGGAGTCGGAACCGGGATATCACCACCCTCCAGGTCTGTTCCCGCACACTTCCGAGCGGGCAAGGTGGCACGCTGATGCAAGTGCAAACTCATTCAGTCCGCACATGGAGAGGATCGTCCTCGGAGAGGAACGTCCAGTGTTGTCTTTGATAACTTCGCTAGTTTTGGATGACTAGTTGGCTTTCGATTGTTACAGCTGTCATCTCTGGTCAAAGACATTATTTATGCAACAGATAGCATAGCAGACGTCGACATACTTTGGGGTATTATTTTTAAATTATTGTGTCGACATATGTCAAAGGTATTAGCCGCAGAAGTAAGTTTTACCTTAGAAATTTCTTCATGCCTTCACCGTATTCATCCTAATTACAGGACACCGACAAAAGCCCTATCATTGGTGCTTTGGCAAGTGCTCTTCAAAGCTTCTCCGTGGAAGAGGACAGTGGAAGGTAGTTGTTGATGATTCCAAATATGAGTCTACATGATCTGGTGGTGCCCTTCCGTAGACTTCAGAAAGGTTTTACAGCTGGTGAAATTATTACTGCATGTGGCTTGCTCTGATCCACTCTTACTCGAAAACGACAAGGTGATGGTGCTTAATTCCCTCCTTGGTCTTTTCGATTCCATATTAAAGAAAAACCCGCGATTGTATATTGCGGATAGTGGCGTACAGTTACAAACCTGGTCGCTGAGTATTTATCCGG